TGACTCTGTTTAGGTCTGCTGATAGGGATAATTCCAACAACTACCGTGTAAATAAGAGCGAACGACGATTCCTCTCCAACCGTCGATTTATTCGATGATATGGTCGAGACATTCAGAAGGATAGGATTGACTACAAAATTAAATAAAACAACAATGTATATAGCAATGTATATGTCAATTAATGCAAAAAATCATTTTAACAACACAAATTTGCTTTTCGATAAATAATCTATCAAAAACATTACATTTTACCAAAAATACAATTCTAAAAGTTAGATATCATAATAACAACAATGTTCATTTAATTGTTTACATAAATTAAGCCTACATACCGTTTTATACGCTCTGCATTTCGACAACAAAAGACACGAGCGTGTCTCTCACTCAGCAACATAACAAAATACTAGAGTTATCGTTCTTGGCACGCTCTTCTTGTGCGCTCATACAAGTCTATAAATAGGAACCTTAAACATAAACCTTACATATCGAGAAAATTTCCTTCATTGATGCTGTTTGTGAGTTCTTTTTGTTCTATTCTTAACTTCAGACTGCAGGTATGGTGTGATGCAAATGATGTTATAGATGAGGTCAAAGCAGGCATAAGATCCTAGTTGTCAACGATTGATAATATATTCTCCTTACATGCTATTATCCAGAGTGAGTGAGTGAGTGAGTTCGGTTTTACGCCGCTTTTAGCAATATTCCAGCAATATCACGGCGGGGGACACCAGAAATGGGCTTCACACATTGTACCCATGTCAAGAAATATGCTAGTAAAAGGAAAGTAGGTTTTATTGTGTTTTTGGTGATTTTTCCAAGGCATTTGATTCTTTTAGCAGATGATATATTGCCAATGATTGATTCTAGTTTACAATTACAAAAGAAAACCTATGCCTTCGAGAAATGTTGCGATACAACGGGTGAGAAAGTAAATTTGAACAAAACCAAAATGATGGTTTTTCGTAATTATGAAAAATGTGTGTTTTAATGGTAATCAAAAAGAGGTAGTATGTTTTTATTGATATCATGGAGTTGTATTTACTCCAAAACTTCACAAGCTAATAAAAGCTCTAATGTCCATTTATCGTTATTCCAAAAGGGCTGGGGATATCACATGTGAATATTTGTTCAAAATATTTGATAGTATGCCTGTCCCCATATTGTGTTATGGTTAAGAAATATGTGGGAGTAAAATAAAGTAAAATCAGGTATTAAAACTATAAACAGTATGGTTCATGGTGAATGTGGAAGAGTCCCTTTCCAGTTTGTTTCTATGACTAGAGCAGTGAAATATTGGTGTACAATTATTAATCTAAGTCGAAATAGATGACTGTACCAATGTTATCAGATGTTGTTATTCTTAGATGAAAGTGGACGTGTTAATTGGGGGGTAACCCACATACAAAATTACTGACTTGCTATATGCAGGTGATCGTATCCACATTGCCTTGATCAATGCTCATGATATCAATCACTGGATTGTCTGATCCAAATTCGATTACTTACAGACCACCGTCATATAACTGGAACACTGCTGAAAGCGACGTTAAATAACAAACAAACATGCTCTTCTTTTTAAGCAACGGGAATACAACCAAAGATTTTATGTCCACTTCTGCGAATGAGAGCACGTGACTGTCTCTTGAGGATCCTTTCGTCTTCTGCCACAGGCGGTTTCTGATTTGAAGTGATCCATTGACATAATTTTCATCGCTATTTTGGAATTTACGCCCAAAAGAACTCTGGCGTTGACGTTTCAAATTCAATATATTGATGAGGCGGCACTCAACATCTTTCTAGGTCATGACAGACCCGTGAAGATTTCGGGGTGGAATAGGTCTTCCCGATCAGCAACCCATGCTTGCCGTAAAAGGCGACTATGCTTGTCGTAAAAGGTGACTAACGGGATCGGGTGGTCAGGCTCGCTGGCTTGGTTGATGCACGTCATCGATCCCAATAGGTCTTCAGCAACCCATGCTTGCTGTAAAAGGTGACTATGCTTGTCGTAAAAGGCGACTAACGGGATCGGGTGGTCAGGCTCGCTGACTTGGTTGATACATGTCATCGATCCCAATTGCGTGGATCGATGCTCATGATATTAATCACTGGATTGTCTGGTCCAGACTCGATTATTTACAGACCGCCGTCATATAGCTTGAATAGTGCTTGGTGCGGCGTTAAACAACAAACCAACCAACAAATTGCGTGGATCGATGCTCATGATATCAATCACTGAATTGTCTGTTCCAGACTCGATTATTTACAGACCGCCGTCATATAGCTGGAATAATGCTGAGTGTGGCGTTAAACAAGAAACCAACCAATCAACTAGGTCATGACGACGGTCTGGAAATAATCGAGTGAACCAAAGCTAGGTTTTAAGGAAGTATAAGGAACATGGTACAAATAAGTCAGCCTCGTAATGTCATGTCTGATTAATATGATTTATGTCTTTGCTTTACCATGTATGTAATGTTTTTAGTCTTCAAGTCAGCGAGCCTGACCACCCGATCCAATTAGTGGCCTCATACGACAAGAAAGGTCGCCTTTTACGGCAAGCATGGGTTGCTGAATACCTATTCTACCCGGAATCTTCACGGGTCGTGAAGAGTTTTGAAATCCCTTGAAATCCATGTACGGCCCCCAATGACATGAAACCAAAATGAAGACAGTTGTATTCTTGGAATATGTATTAACATCCAAAAGTTTATCACTGCAATGACATTCCTCATATCACAGATTGACATGTCTTGTCGAAGATGTCAGCTTTCACAAAATGTTCTGGAATCTATTTTCTTGAGCATTGGGAAGTATTTCGAAGTCGGCAATTTCTGACAATAATGAGCTGCATCCTTTGGAAAACAATCGCTCTCCATTGATTTCAATTCCAACTTTTATGCGACGCATACATTAAGACCCATATTGTACCTGGGTAATATACATGTCAGTCCATGGGACGTGGTAGTTCACAACAATAGTATCCTTCAGCAGTTTCTGCAGTTGTTGCATGTCATCAGAAGGTATTGCATTCAGCATTGATTAATTTCAGGCGCCTGCTGCGTATTTGTAATCAACAAGCTCACACCGTAGACCACCCTGGTGTGATTTGTTTGTTGTTTAACGCCCAACTCAGCAATATTCCAGCTACATAACGGTGGTCTGTAAAAAATCCGAGTCTGGACCTCGCAATTGGGATCGATGACATGCATCAACCAAGTCAGCGAGCCTGACCACCCGATACCGTTAGTCGCCTCGTACGACAGGCAAAGTCGCCTTTTACGGCAAGCATGGGTTGCTGAGGCGTATTCTACCCCGGAATCTTCATGTGTCTGGTGCAATTGTACAGAACATGCTCAGGTGCTGACGTAGAGACACGTGAACTCCCAGATGCAACACCCAAACTAGAAGGTTAGTGAAAATGTTAGTGAAAATGACCTTGCACCAACACGCAAGGTCCTCCATCCTCCCGAAGAATTACATTGGTGATGTACTACCCCTCTTTCATGCAAAAGATGGGTTCGTAATCTCAATAATTCAAACAGCTTATCGTGGATTCAACAGGAGAATTCCAGTCCGAGGTGTGTGTCAGTTAGAGTCAATTATGATAAATGTCTCATCAGCAATAAAACTCCCGTCAAAAAATAACCAAGAGGTTCATAGGGTCTGTATCGCTCACCTGCATATTTACGCAATCATGACAAAATATACATGTGCTTTGGCTGAGCCGTTTCCATGTTATGATCCAGGATCTACGTTTCCAGAGGCAAGGCTGGACCCCACGTCATAAATGTATTATTCTCGTCATTACAGACAAATGTATACAATGTATCTGTTAAGGTGGGTATATCAGTTTGCATGTTGTGGTCAAGGTTCTAACTCCTTTGGGAGTGCCGGACAGATGAACAGAAGGGCCAGTCCTGGTAGCAATATTTGGTAGCGTACATGTATGTGCATTCCTCTCATTATACTCACCAATTGTACATATGGATATACGGTGGAGATCTTAATTGTGTACAAGTTATAAATTCTTTTTGACACCGCCCCACCTCGGCCCATCCATTTGTACAACTGTGAATTACCATCACCTTAGAATACTTCCAACAAATATGGTTGATCTATCTCTTAGTTCCAGATAAGAAGTCGTTTAAAGCAATAAAGCCAAATTACCCCCATTTCGCCCCGCCCTCAGCCCCTCCATTTGTACAATTTTGAATCACCACCACCTAGGGATGCGTCGAGTCGAATTTCGTTAATTTCCAATTTCCAAGAAGAGATAGTCGTTTGGAAAAAGCTGCTGACGGGCGGACGGCGGACGCCACGGTACGGCATAATCTAACCTTGGTCCTTTCAGACCCGGTGACCTAAAAATCTAAAATCTCAATATTATACGATTGTGAATTCTAAGGTTATTTGTAGCATACCTTTAGGTGTTTGGGGAAAAGAGTAATTGAGTTTTCTTGTTTTCAATCAAAGATGTCTACCTGGCGGCCATGTTGAAATTTAGAATTTTGATGCCTGGAAATTCTTTATTGTATCATGCATCCACTGAAAATGGAGAAGACGAAAATGGAAAATGTTTATGGACGACGAGGGCCAGAAAAGCTAAAGCCAACCTACCGTAAGACCGCATGATGAAGAACGATTTTAGCATTTGGCATACAGTATGCGAACAATTATGTATGATTCAGGAGCAGGATAACGCTGACCAAAACTGAAACAAGTTAAGAACAGATTCTTAGCAGATATTTCCTAGGATTACATGTTTTTGAAGCTTTATTTACACCCGTAACACAACAACTTGTCATTATCAGCACGAGCAACACATGTTTGCACACATAGTTTCAACGCCCATTCAGAGTAGCACACAGCAAGGTGAACCAGATACACTGCGTCGAATTCTGAATTTACATTTTGGCGATGACAGTATGGGAACAATGATATATGATGCAGGAGCAGGTAATCACTGACCAAAATTGTCACAGATTTAAGGCGGATTCTCAGTACATATTTTTTTATGATTTGGGAAATGTTTGTAGCTGTATTTACACTCGTAACTTGTCTTTACTTACATGTTTGCACACGTAGTGTTTAAACCAATTGACAATAGCACTTTGGAAGGGGCACCTGAATGAAACACTGCGTCGAATTCTGAATATTAACGTCAAGCCAGAGATATTGGAATGTTCTAAACGGGTGCTAGTCAAGGTCATGTTGAGTGCTATTGGGAGATTGTAATCGGTGTCACACCAATGGAACTGCTGCACATGCTCAATGAATAGAACTAAAAGACTAAACGAACTAAAGACCTGTCTACAACTATAAGGATATCCATGTGAAGTGGTTGCAGACGCTGTAAATAAACCAATGCAAATCCACGATAAAAAAACTGATGAAACAAAAAGAAACAGATAAAGACACTGACATCATTCCATTTGTGTGTACTTACAATCCTAATAACTGTACAATTGTGACCCTTATGAAAGCCAATCTTCCAATTTTGCAGCAAAGTTTGAACAAATGTGTAAGGGTAAACCTATATGCACCACCAGACGGCCTAGAAATCTCAAACAAATTCTCTGTCCATCTCAATACTCATAAAATAAAACATACCGTCAGTGTAACAAAATGTCACACACCTCGATGTGGAACTTGCCAAATAATAATTGAAGACTGCAAAATTAGATTTTGCGAAGATAAAACTATTTAATGTAAAAAAAACAAGAACTGGCGCAGTAAAGATGTTATATATGCTTTATTATATATGCTTTAACAAGTGGGCGATATTGTCAGCATGTTATGTGAGTAACACTAAAAGACCGAATCAATGTACACAGATAGCAAATTCGAGATCAAAATGTAAATTGAGTTAATGTTAGCAAACAGATTGATGAATGCGGTAGTGGCCATTTTGCTGTCTTTGCGTTTTATTAATTGTTTAACAAACAATTTCTGGATGGAAAAAGAACACATATTCTTCCGGCTTTTTAAATCTAAAACTTACCATGTAGTTCAGTGTATGTCTGTGCGCTCACAACATACTAAACCTGTGAAGATCCGGGGTAGAATAGGTCTTCAGCAACCCATGCTTGCCGTAAAAGGCGACTATGCTTGTCGTAAGACACCATGAGCATCGATCCATGCAATTGGGATACAATGACAAGTCAGCAAGCCTCACCACCCGATCCTGTTAGTCGCCGTTTATTGGTGTATATTCATGCACTGTATTGCCTGCTTGGGGCTTGGTATGTAAACGCATAGATGGGAATCATATATGTGTTTGGAAAATTGCATTTACATCATCATGCTTTATGCTTACATATAACATACCAACAAAAAATATTAATTTGCGCACTGATTTGCACATACATAGTTTTGCCCCATTAGAAAAAGGCATTTATTTGAAGCGGTATCATGAGCTGGCCAACAGTCTTTAAAGTCAGTCTAATTCACACGATGAAGAGGACACCACGTCACAATGTTATTTCTGCTGATTTCATGCGAACGTCGCCTTCAACATCGACATTTCGCGGACTGACGTCAGGGTATCTTTCTGTGAAGTTGTAGATGCCATTTCCATTCACTGAAAGCTTAAATGTGTAAAATATACAGTTGGGTTGGTTGGTTGGTTGGTTGGTTGTACGAGAGCCCATTAGGACCACATTGGTAATTCTTTTTTGCTCTTTTGAAAGCCGCAATAACGAGAGAAAAATTCGTAATCACGTCATTTCAAAACATTAATTACGAGAAAATAAATCGTAAGTACGAGTTTTCAAAACTCGTAATAACCAGAATAAAGTCGTAGTTACTTTTCAAAACTCGTAATTACGAGAATTTTTTTTTATAAGATTCTATTTATTGCTTCGTCATTATATCACAGTAACTTTCATCATCACTGTTCTTACAATGGCGGAAGATATTCTCGTTATAACGAGTTTTGAAAAGTCGTAACTACGACTTTTAAAGGAGAAAAAAACAAAATACCAATATGGTCCTAATGGGCTTTCGTAGTTTAACGCCGCACTCAGTAATATTCCAGCTATATGACGGCGGTCTGAAAATAATCGAGTGTGAACCAGACAATCCAGTGATTAATATCACGCATTTGGGATCGATGACATGCATCAACCAAGTCAGCGAGCCTGACCACCCGATCCCGTTAGTCGCCTCTTATGACAAGCATAGTCGCTTTAAGAGAAGGGTTTATTGCCAATTTTAACAGTATTTCAGTTATACATGACCATCTTCCCAAGGCAAGGGCGTTAACTGACCATAAAAGTCCAGTTTCCAATCTTGCCGAACTTGAATTGGCCCGGAATTTCCCGGCTCGGTCGGAGCGCCAGTGGCTTTTGTGTTCCTCTATTTTTCCCATTGCCCAATCAGATTCCACCTTTCATAAAACTTGCACTTCCTTCAAACAAACTTGCGGCGCCCAGACAAGACGATCCAATTGGTAATCAGGATCTATATGGTAATAAGGATCTGGAAAAGTGCGCCCGGTAAAGGGCACTAGTCCCAATCAAGCCTTTCCTCGCGAGGTGCATCAAATCACTTAATCACCTTGATTAAACATGAAGTGATTTGCAAAATATCTGTCAACGCCTAGTTGGCGGTACACATGCTTTGCAAATCCATCGATGGACCAACATCTGCACGTTGAGATCTACGTTGTTTACGAACCGCGTGTCTAGTTCGTCACGCCATTTTGATTGGACAAAGCACAACAATGTTACTCCGGAATTCCAGCCTTGTTCGGCAAGGGTGGAAACTGGATTTTTATTGCCAGTTAACGCCTATGCCTCGGAAAGATGTATATGAAAGGGTTTAAGCTTTATATAGCAGGAAACTGGATCTGATATATAGGAGGTGAAGTATACCGTTTGTTTGTCTTCAGGAAAGGGACTTTTGTCATCAAACTAGTTTGTTCCAGACAATACTCCAAAAAAGGACTGGAGTGAGTAAGTATGGTTTTACAACGTTTTTAGCATAAATCCAGCAAAACCACATCGAGGGACACCACATATTGTACTCTTGTCAGGAATCGAACCTGCGAACGAGCGGACGCTTTAACCACTAGGCTACCCCACCAACCCCGTTCACTCGACACGCTGAACGGTCCGTTGCGGGTCAAACAATACATGTGGCGTTAAACAACAAACAGACAAACTAACAATAAATGGCTCAAACCTTTCAGAGAAAACCATTGTACACTGATGAGCAAACGACACTATACCAACTTTAAATTGAGTATTAGGGCGCTACTGACTTCATGCTGTAATCTGGCTGAGTTTTGTGTTAAATTAGTTTATTCGGTAAACTTGGAAAATCATGCCATGAACACAGGACCTAAGCCGCCTGCAAACAGACGTGACTCCAGGGAGAACGGCACCGACTTACGTTATTTGACTCTAACGTTGGTTGGTTTGTTGTTTAACGCCGCACTCAGCAATATTCAAGCTACATGACGGCGGTCGTAAATAATCGAGTCTGGACAAGACAATCCAGTGATTGATATTATGAGCAACGATCCACGCAATTGGGATCGATGACATCCATCAACCGAGTCAGCGAGCCAGACCAACCGATCCAGTTGGTCGCCTCTTACGACAAGCACATTCACCTTTTACGGCAAGCATGGGTTGCTGAAGGCCTATTCTACCCCGGATTTTCACGGGTCCGAGAAGTATTGACATGGACAACAACCTACTCTGTAAATTCCTTCCTCCAGTGTTATTTCCATCACAGACTGAACTCCCAACGCCAGCGGAACGTGTGTCAACCTTATTTCTGACCCCCATTGGCGTGTTGAGTTACGCGTGTTGATCACCACGGCGCTGGTATCCATTCGAAACTCATAGTGACACAACCTGTTACCTCCATTTCCGCGTACAGACACAACCATCCTGGAAATATAAAATAAAAAAACATCAAATCAACAAACGATTTAGTCATGAAGCTTTTATTTGTTAACTTTTGAATGTTTAATCACTTACATAATTAAGCAGGAATTAATCAAAATCACATCCTTTACTTCGATATGATTCTTGTCTGTGTGGAATCGCCAATGATACCTTACTAATTAAGAGATGAAGTGTCGATTCAAGCAATCAGCATCTTGGTTTCTGAATTACCATTGGTTGGTTGTTTTACGCCGTACTCAGCAATATACCAGCTATATGACGGCAGTCTGTAAATAATCGAGTCTAGACCCGTCAATTCAGTGATTTATATCATGAGCATCGATCCACGCAATTGGGATCGATGACCTGCATCAACCAAGTCAGCGAGCCTGACCACCCGATCACGTTAGTCGCCTTTTACGACAAGCATAGTCGCCTTTTACGGCAAGCATGGGTTGCTGAAGACCTATTCTACCCGGATCTTACCGATACGACTGATCGAAGAATTCAGACCTGCATATCTGACATCTGCATCTCGAAAATGAAGTAAAAGTTCCAAACAAAGGTAATAAATAGAGGTTATCATGCGACAATGTGTATTTCTAATACAGGATATTTACCATCCCCAAACACACAAGCGTGATAACCTCTATCAAATAATGTCATTCTTCAATTCTGTGCTCGACAGATCTCTTCCCATCTCTCGCAAACATTACCTAAACATTGCAAGTTGTCCTGGAATGTGCGCATTAATATATATTACGTCAGAGGGTAAGTGATGCGCCAGTTGGACTCTGACAAACAGTCAAAATAGTCCCAACTGAAACCTGTTTCCTATACAGTGGCGTTACCACACAGGCAAAACAACAATTGCCTGCACAAATTGTTTCTACTTGCCTTTCGCGGCAATGCATCGGTCTGTCCGCTAGAATATTTGCTTGTTTGTTTGTTGTTTAACGCCGCACTCAGCAATTTTCCAGCTAAACTCCGCTGCCAAAGACAATATTGCAAACATGTTGCTTCCCATCTATCGATCTTTATCAAAGTAGTAACGCTGAAGCATCATATAATTTTCTATATTTTTCAGGCGCCAGCAGATCAACCGAACAAAAACAATAATTTCCATTACCTTCTTGAACAATCTTTTCGGCAACCCCAAGTTGTGTGTTACTATTACCTTGTGGCAGCAGTTGGTGTGACGTACAGGGTTAGTTTGAATCTGCTCACAGGCTTACACGGCATGCTCAATCTGGTCACGTCCTACAAATATGAAACACAACAATACAAAACTAAGGGACCGACCATTTGACCTTCTTTGGGATATTGTCTGGAGATAAAACATATTTATCAGCTACAGCGACAAAACCATATCCTTTTTATTTATATTTTAAAAGACTGATTTGAGAAAAAACAAAACCTTGCAACAATGTAATTATTGTGGCAAGCAATTTCTTCCCTTTCATCAATAACTTATGTTTCTTCATTCGGTTACAATTATTCTTAAATGATGCTTCTTAACACTTACATTGGTTCGTTTGTTGTTAACGCCGCTCTCAGCTACATGTATATTCCAGCTATATGACGTCGATCTGTTCAAACTCGAATCTGAACCAGACAATCTAGTGATTGATATCATGAGTTTTTGCTTGTTTGTTTGTTTGTTTGTTGTTTAACGCCACACTCAGCAATATTCCAGGTATATGACGGCAGCTCACGCAATCACGTCTGAGACCTGCATCACTTCGGGCTTTCCTCCCACATTAAGCTGACACGCCGTGATATAACTGGAATACTGTTAAAAGCGGCGTAAAACCCAACTCACTCACTCACTCATAAATACTTTAAAACATTGAAACAGAAAGCATCCTTACAGGGTTGTCCCATCTGTATCTATCACAAGGACCGACCCAACCGCTCCATTTTCTACTTGCTTTGCAAACACTGCTGCTGTTGCGGCACATGAGGAAGTCAGGAAAACACGTGTATGTTGCTACAGCCCCCAGGTATACACCGTCATACTCTCTCGTCCCATTGGTCAGGGTCGGTGGTTCATCGCATCCCTGGAACTCTTCAAAGTAACAATTGACAATATGAATTTTAACCACATTCCTCGGATCAATTTTGACCCAATTCATTTACTATTATTGTTTGTTTGTTTGTTGTTTAACGCCACACTTAGCAATATTCCAGCTTTATGACGGCGGTCTGTAAATAATCGAGTCTGGACAAAACAATCCAGTGATTTACATCATAAACATCGATCCACGCAATCGGGATCGATGACATGCATCAACCAAGTAAGCGAGCCTGACCACCCGATCCCGTTGGTCACCTTTCACGACAAGCATAGTCGCCTTTTATGGCAAGCATGGGTTGCGAGGACCTATTCTACCCCGGATCTTCAAGGGTCCATACAGAGATCAAAATGTAACTAAATCGCTCATAAGTTTGGCGTTAATCATTTGGATGCAGCTGATGAACGGAAATTTGTTCACTTATTGTTAGCTAGACCTTATCCAGAAACGTTGCAGAGAACGATTAGATAGCAGTGTTGTCCAGAGAGTTCACTCAGCGCCATCAGTTAAGCTTGGCTTATTTTCCAGATAAGATATATACATACCTGGCTCCATGTTGGAATAACCATTACATTAAATTGAGCGGTTAATAACAGCATTTATGAAAAGCGAGGAAACTTACCCCGCACGCATGCTGTACGACCAAGTCGATCAAGGTGACACGCTTTCTGGCCGCAAGACTTCGCTGAACAGGCACCGGCGAGAGACTGAATGACGGGAAGTGCATATAAACCCCTTGAACGTTGTCACGATGATTGTGTTGTGCAGACTGATCGATGGGGAAACATGCCTTAAAAACTCAGATCAATTTTATATCCGACAGTTGAGTTCTTACCGCTTATTTGCCCCTCGTGGTGATAAGGCTACAGGAGGTTCTTCTATGCTGGTGAAGCAGAGCATAATCCATAGCCCTGTTCCACTCAACACTACTTTACAAGCTGTTGCTGTTACTTTGAACATGTTATCCCCATCCTTGTTATGTGCATTAAAACCAATCAATCGCGTATTTCTGAACACCAATAGCTTATTTCTGAACATCAATGGCGTATTTCTGAACACCAATAGCTTATTTCTGAACATCAATGGCGTATTTCTGAACATCAATAGCTTATTTCTGAACATCAATCGCGTATTTCTGAACACCAATAGCTTATTTCTGAACATCAATGGCGTATTTCTGAACATCAATAGCTTATTTCTGAACATCAATGGCGTATTTCTGAACATCAATAGCTTATTTCTGAACATCAATGGCGTATTTCTGAACACCAATAGCTTATTTCTGAACATCAATGGCGTATTTCTGAACATCAATAGCTTATTTCTGAACATCAATGGCGTATTTCTGAGCACCAATAGCTTATGTCTGAAAATCAATGGCATACTTCATAATGCAATAGCATGTGTCTGAACAACCCCGTATTTCTGAACACTATTGGCATATTTCTTTACACCTATAGCGACTTTCAGAATATCAGTAGAATATTTTCTGAAAAATACCGTTTTTTCCAGTAGCGTATTTATGTACATACAATATCGTATTTCCGAACACCAGTACCGTATTTCTAAACATCTATGACGTATTTTTGAACATCAATGGCGTATTTCTTGTCAGTAAATTTAATTGGTAAACTCACAGTTTACCACAGATACCATATAAGATTTATTCATGGTTTCTTGGATGTTGTGAAAACCACTTTACACCTTGAAGTGGTGACCGACATCGTGAATGTTAACGTTGTATACTACAATCAGCCGCATTCTGAGCACCGAGGTTGGAATAAGCAGCGCCCAATGCCAATGATGCTTTGTCATGTTGTCTAGACATTGTCAAGCATATGTTGCTTGGTTGACGTTGCAATCTCACGGGATTTATATTAACATGTTGAAAGTCTGAAAAGTTAATATTTCTATTAGTTGAAATATTTAGAAGAATTGGTCTCATTGCAGGCATATCCACGGGATTTATATTAAAATGTCGAAAGTCTGAAAAGTTAATATTTCTATTGGTTGAAATATTTAGAAGAATTGGTCTCATTGCAGGCATATCCACCGTATGATATTTGTGGTAAGACAACAAGGAACTTGCCAAAGTCACATGAAATCTCTGCTAAAACTTGCGTCCATTGTTCAGTTCAGACTATATCGTAAAGAATGTATTTATGAATCACTATCAGTTAGTGATGACATTAGGTATTCGAGAAAAGGTGAGCAAATTCTGCCCAACCGGTGGCACCCGTCACAAGCACAGGCACAAGTAAAGGACATTCATAGCATCAGCTCACTTCTCAAGATGTAATTCCTTGAACCCCCTCCCCTTCTCACATACCAGCTGTATGATGAGATTGCTGTAGGCATGACTCCGTAGTAATTAAGTCCCACCCCTTCCAGCTGGACGCCCGTGAAGATCCGGGTAGAATAGGTCTACAGCATCCCATGCTTGCCGTGGAAGGCGACTATGCCTGTCGGACTTTTATGGTCAATTAACGCCCTTGCCTCGGGAACATGGTCATGTATCACTGAAATACTGTTGAAAGTGGCAATAAACCCTACTCTTATGGCGACTTTGCTTGTCGTAAAAGGCGACTAACCGGATCGGGTGGTCAGGCTCGCTGTTGCATGACATCGATCCCAAACAATCACTGGATTGTCTGGTCCAGACTCGATTATTTACAGACCGTCGTCATAGAGCTGAGATATTGGTGAATGCGGCGTTAAACAACAAACCAACCAAAGCAAAGGTCAAGTCATCTCCTGAACAAACACGGAAAGATATGGTACAGATCAAAATAGGAAATTGCATTGGTCATTATTTTGATCTCAATGTGGAAACAACCCCCACATGTCTACCGTAAAATCTTTGAAAACTTTTTTTTTCTTTTTTTTAAAAATATTTTTTATTCAATTCAGTATATGACATTACAGAGATATACATGGAGAAGCACGTCTTGTAGCATACTTGTTAGGTATAGTGAGTGAATGAGTATGGTTTTACACCGCTTTTAGCAATATTCCAGCACCAGACACCAGAAATGGGCTTCACACATTGTACCCTTGTCGGGAATCGAACCCGGGTCTTCGGCGTGACGAGCGAACGCTTTAACCACTTGGGTACCCGACCGCCCCCACTTGTTAGGTATAGGTTACCTATACAGCAGACAGCAGGTCAGCAAGTTTAAGTTCACTTCTGGTGTCCATCAAAGTTTACACATGGTGTAAACGGGCAAATGTGGAGCTAAATCGTTACAAATTGGTTGTGTGAAAAAAATATATTTAAAAAAAATAATAAAAAAAATAAAAAATAAAAATTAAAAAAAATAATTAAAAAATTAAATACGAAAAAAATAGAGACATTAACTAGACAGTTCATTTGCCAAATCTTTCTGTCAAACTGTCTTATTGTATTGTTTTTGTGTGCAATTGATTTCTCTATCCGAACTATATCAATTAAAATCTTCATGAACGTTTCAAGTGACAATATGTTTTTCTCAATACTTGATACATGTATATATTTTGCATGCCAATATAATGTGATTTAACAGAATGTTAGAGTTGTACTCAAGTAAAACAGAGCATTTTGTAAATGTAAATTGTTTTGAACATTTTGTATTCAGAAAACATTCAACTTTAGCCCAAAACTCTATAACATGCTTACAATCCCAATATACATGAAGTAAGGATTCAGTATCAATTTCACAAAATGAGCACAGATCATCATCGAGAATTTTCATTTTAAACAATTCTTTCTTTGTATAGATGGTGCGATAAATAAATTTATATTGAAAATCAAGTAATTTTACATCTTTTGTACATTTTCTATATCTGATAAAAACATCCTTCCATGATATACCTAAGTCGAGAATGGTATCCCATTTTTCACAGACTGTCAGGAGATTTGCTGTAGTTATAATCTTATCATAAAAAAACCTCTAGGCGCAACAAGTCCATCAAAGTTGTATTTAAATGTTGATTATATAAAATAATTTGATTATTTCTAATAGTATCTTTCCAGGATTTTGGTATGTTTAATAGAACTTGGTAATAGTCAATAATTATGCCTTTAATTGTGTATTTTCTTTTAAGTTCACTAAAGGGCATTATATCATCTTCATTGCAGAGATCTTTAATAGTGTAAATTCCCTTTAAAAACCAATTTATTATAATGAAATCGTGGTTTTTTTAAACTGATGGTTACACCAAAGAGGTTGTGATAGTACTTCTTCAATGTTTGTGGAGTTAGTTTTGTGTCTTCTATACAGTCTTCCCCAAGCAGACAAAACATCTCTCAAGTAAGGGTTAGCTAACTGCATACAGTTTTCAATATTGGCCTCAAGTAGGAATATGTTTTTGAGTGGAAAGATGCTAGGGTTATTACAGTTTTTTTTATTTTGGAGATATTTTTTGAGCACTGACATTTTTAGAGCAATTATAAAAGACTTTACCTCTATCATTCACAGTCTGCCTTCATCATATTTTCTAATTAAAGATGTTCGTTTTATTTTGTCCCTTTTGTCATTCCATATGAATCTGTACAATATTTTGTTAAGTTCATCAATAAATTCACTTGGAGGGTTTGGAAGAGAAGAGAATATATGTACTAAGGTTAATAGGGCCAAGGTTTTGACAACAGTAATTTCACCTATCAATGTTAAATTTCTTTTCCTCCAGTTCCCAAAAATTTGGTTAATAATTTCAATTCTCTTCTTTGTATTGATTACCCACATATTGTTTAAGTTCGAGTTAAGCTTTATTCCCAATATTTCAAAGTCCCCACTGTGCCAGTCTAGTTTCAGACCCTGACATAATTTGATGTCACTTCCTGTCATTGAGCCTATCCATATTGCTTTTGTTTCATCAATATTAATTTTTAATCCTGACATTTTATAAAAATCATTTAGGGTGTCAACCGCTGTACTTAAACTTTCATCAATCCCATCTAGAAATATTTCAGTATCATCAGCATATTGTCCAAGTTTATGTTCCACATTATTCAGTTTGATACCTTTTATTGCATTATTATTACGAATCATTATTCTCAACGTTTCTGCAACAAGCAGGAATAGATATGGAGACAATGGGTCTCCTTGTCTACACCCTCTTTCGTTACAGAAGGGTGAGTGAGTGAGCGAGTTAACATTTAACGTCGCATCGGCATTATTTCAGCCATATAGCGACGCGACCAAGCTAGTATATACACAATTTAGTTATTTATGCAATGTCATATTTAAAAACAATTGATGAAAATTGATGGACAGAGCCTAATGTCAGTTGCTAACAGCATCACACCAAATTTAAAAACAAGCATTTAATTATTCACATACATATTTAAAATTTATTATACAGACCAATTTCTTTCAAGTAATTTATGATGAGATGCCCGCTGACACGGGAAAAGAGATCTTTTAGATTTACACTTTGATAATGTGAATCCCTTGCGATTGCAAAGTCCACACAGTCAAGCAATATATGCTTGACGGTGAACCTTTCATCACAAGGGATACACTTAGGAGGTTCGACCTCATCTGTTTTAAGCAGATATTCGTGTGTAAACCGACTGTGGCCAATACGACACCGTCGTAAAACGACCTCGTCATGTCTTGACTGACAATTCAAGTAGGTATGACCGATTGTTGGTTTCAATTCGTGTAGTTTATTGCTTCCTACTTGGGTGTCCCACCTCTTTTGCATGAGATCCCGAGTATAAGATTTAGATAAGTGTCCATTTTGTATGATGCAAGATGAAGCATTATTTGTAAGTATGTATATCCATTTTCTTATATTAGGTCCAAAGCCAAACTTTTCCAGTGTCAGCATGGTAAATTGTTTTGAAACAGTATCAGAAGCTTTTTCAAAGTCTATAAGTAATAGTAAACCAGGCTTATTTTGTAATTTTGTCTCAAACAAGATATCATATAGTAGTCGTATGTTTTCGCTAATACATCTTCATGGGATAAAGCGAGTTTGTTTTTCGTCTATAAGAGTATTAAGCGTTGTTTTAATTCTGTTTGCTATACATGTACTCAAAATTTTATATAGTGAATTCAAGAGAGAAATTGGTCGCCAGTTTTTGAGTAGTTGTTTATCTTTAGTGCCTTTGGGTATACAGGTAATGACACCTCTATTCATTGTAAGACTTAAAATGTTATTTCTAAATGTGTCCACGATTTTTCCAGAACAATTTGAAAAACTCTACAGGGAATCCATCGATACCTGGGCTTTTTTTATTTTTCATTAGGACTTGAATACTGAAACTAGGATAAAGCATCTTTAAAGAAGAACCGTATGTCATATGATAGCACAAGCAGAGATCAATGTCATTGAGGTGAAAAACAGGCATTGATCCTGGTCACACAGTGTAACCAAGCAATCTCTATCTTAATCAGTTATTTGACAAACGGTATGATCAATCAACGGCAAGTAGCTTTCGAGGTTGCGTAAATACAGACACACATCAGTAACTGACTCCACACATTGAGATCAGTATCAGTCAACACATCATATTTGCTAAACATTGCATTTCATAGAATGCCAACTTCTCTTCGTTCTTTCTTGTTCAGGGTCCTGCTCATCTACCTTTGGTCTACATCAACAACAAAATAAATTAAAATTTTCTCAAACTTTTCGGTTACTGACATGCGTTCCACACCAAAGACATCCATTGATTTTCGAATTTAAGAGATGTTGAACTCTGTAATGAGCCAACTGGC